GGCCGGCCGGCTCGGGGGAGGAGGCGGCAGCGGCGGCAGCTAGGCTCTCCTCCCCGGCCGCCCCCCCTCCCTACCCACCCGGCGGCAGCGTTCGCAGAGCATCTCCTGCGCACGCGCAGGAGACGCTCTTGCACTTTCGGGGGGATTTTAACATCCCCCCGAATTTTTTTTTAACTTTTTTTATTTTTGTGCACACGTGGGGACTGGCCCACGTGTGCACAAACCTTCCCCGCCCCCCCCAGCTGCCCCCTCCGTGCTGATTTAAGTATCCGCACGGAGGGGGCAACTTGGCTATTAGTATAAGGATAGTTAAATATTCAGAGTTTGCAATGGATCTTTGTTCACTGGAGAGGAGGCATTTTCTTCTGGTGTAAAAATCTTTATTTCTAAAGGGAAGGATACACAGGAAATCTACAAAACAATACACACTTAAGAGTAAGACTATATACTTGCAACAACAGACAGATCAGATGGATAATGGAGATTCCTCTTTCTTCTTTACCCCTAGAAGGAAATCACCTGAATGCATTAACCAATGATTATTAGTAAATAGACTCCAGTTTCCCGGCCTTTCTCCCCATTGGCTTTGTGCCAGGTTCCCTTCCAGGTCAGTCTAAACAACAACACACAATGTAAACACATTAACCCTATAATGACTGGATTTAGACTTTGCAGCACACATATTTCCAACAGGAACAAGGGTCACTGGGAGCGTGGGGGGAGGTATTTATGGATTTCCTGCATTGTGCAGAGAATTGGACTAGATGAACCTGGAGGTCCCTTCCAATTCTATGATTCTATGAACATAGGTAAAGGTAAAGGTTCCCTTGCTCGAAAGCCAGTCGAGTCCGAATCTAGGGTTGCGGTGCTCATCTCCGTTTCAAAGCCGAAGAGCCAGCGCTGTCCGAAGACATTTCCGTGGTCATGTGGCCGGCATGACTAAACACCAAGGCGCACGGAATGCTGTTACCTTCCCACCGAAGTGGTACCGATTTATCTACTTGCAATGTCTTCCTTTCGAATGGCTAGGTTGGCAGGAGCTGGAACTAGAGACGGGAGCTCACTCCATCATGCGGCAACCCGGGTCTTGAACTGCTGAACTACCGACCTTCCACAGCCTGCAGTTCAGCGTCTTAACCACTTGAGCCACCGCAGCTCCTCTATGAACATAAAGGTAAAGGTAAAGGTTCCCTTGCTCGAAAGCCAGTCGAATCCGACTCTAGGGTTGCGGTGCTCATCTCCGTTTCAAAGCCGAAGAGCCAGTGCTGTCCAAAGACGTTTCCGTGGTCATGTGGCCGGCATGACTAAACACCAAGGCGCACGGAACGCTGTTCCCTTCCCACCGAAGTGGTACCTATTTATCTACTTGCAATTTCTTGCTTTCGAACTGCTAGGTTGGCAGGAGCTGGAACTAGAGACAGGAGCTCACCCTGTCTTGCGGCACCCGGGTCTTGAACCACTGAACTACTGACCTTCCACAGCCTGCAGTTCAGTGTCTTAACCACTTGAGCCACCGCATACAGCCCACCAATTGCTCTGTACAGATTTCTGGGTCAAGAAAAATGAGGGCTGAACCCATTTTAATGCACAAATATTTTTTTCTTCCTTCAGGTTCTTTCTAAGCCGTTTGGGACAGAGGCTGCCGACATGACAGTCATGGTGGAAATCACGTTCTTTGTCCTTTGTGCTCTGTCACAAGGTAAACCTTCCAGCCAACCCAAAAGTACGGAGGGGAACAAGGCACCTCACCACTAGCATAGTGGGAGAGGAAAATCGCTTTGGCGAGCCAGTCATTTGGCTTGCTGAAAATTTTGTACATGATTACGTATCAGCGGACCATGGTTAAATATTACCAAATGTTCCCTGGAACCAAGAATGCTACCATGTAGGTGGTAGCTTACTCTTATTGTTTCATGCTGATCTCATACGTTAGCAAGGTCAGGGGAACAATTTATCCCCCACCTAGTTGCACCCAGGGCACACCTAGCGACACGAGAAAGTTTCTCCTATGAGTCACCTTCCATAACTGTAGGCATTTCCAGACAAAGAGCCATGTCAGTCTACAGTAAAAGAAGAGCTAAATTTGGAGTCCAGTAGAACCTTAGAGAACAACAAGGTTTTCGGTGTACCATCTCTGGAGAGTCAACTCTGGCTTCATCAGAAAGCCGACAAAGAAATCTTTGACTCTCAAAAATGTATACCCTGAAAACCTTGTGTGTCTACGTTGCTACTGGACCCAAGTCTAAGATTTCCAGATCGAAACACAAGCCTGAATAGGGATGATCACTCAACCTGCTGGTTCGGCTCATGACTTCTTCATCACTCAGAATCAGTAGTCATTTTTTCCTATGGGCTGTTTGTTCGTTGAACAGTTCATGGCAGTTCAACAGTTTGCTTCAACATATTCCTTTCTAGTAGCACAATTGGCTACTAGAACCGCAATTGCACAATTGGCAATTGCGAACCGCAATTGGCTTTTTGCAGATGTGGGTTCTCAGACAAGCCAACAGAGATGAACACACATGAAATTGATTTATACTGAATGAGACCCTTGGTCCATCAGAGTCAGAACTGTCTACTTTGACTGGCAGCAGCACTCCATGGTCCAGCTGGAGATATTTATAATAATCATCATCATCATCTTTCAATTTACTGATCACTTAATCCTGCAGAGCTTGCTGGCTCTGAGCAATTTACAGTTACTCAATATTACGAGGGACTAACAATGATTTGTAGGGTAGGGGAGGACAACATATATACATCTTAATTCACACACATTCGCTGCTGACAAAGGTTTCATTCAGTTGAATACGAGACGTGATCCGCACGACATTTTTTTCTCGGCCTGGTTTGATGGCGTCAGCTTTTCTCCAGACTCCTTCGAGTTGTAGCGCTGCACTGCCACCACCTGGCCGGAACGGGCCATTACAGGCTTTCTTCATGCCGAGGAGATCTCTCTAGGCTTTCCAATCTTGCGAGCTGGACTTCCGTTCGCTGGCTAACACCACCCCACCGGGGGGGGGGTGTTCAGTGTGCCCACTCTCTCTAAGGAGTGGTACCCATTTTATCTACTCGCCGAAGCTTTCGAACCGCTGGGTAGACAGCGAGCTGGGGACAGGGCTGGTAGCTCACACCAGTGCAGGGCTAGAACTGACAGCAAGCCTGTTCAGCTCAGATGTTACTATTATAACCAGAGAATAAATCCTCTGTGCCACCGCTCCCCTTTTCAAATTAACTTCTACCTAGTTCTTTCAACTGGAGATGGTCGGGATTGGACCTAGGACCTTCTGTGCGCCAAGCTGGTGCTCTGCCACTGAGCCGTGGGCTTTCCCCATCTTCACTGCAGTGTTGCTCCACTGTTCTAATAAACAGTTAAATGTGTTATAATCATCAGTCTGTTCCACATTGTCATTTTTGTAACTCATTTGTCCAGGGCTCTTTTTGTAGCAGGAACTCCTTAGCATATTAGGTGACACACCCATAATGTAGCCAGTCCTCCAAGAGCTTACAGTAGCCCCTGTTAGAAGAGCTAGGGGTGTGTCGCCTAATATGCAAAGGAGTTCCTGCTACAAAAAGAGCCCTGTTTGTCCCTATTGCTTCAGGGTCCCCCCCAAAAAATGTGTTTTGCTCTCTCTAGTAGTCCCAGAGGGAGCAAGACACATGTGGGAGAAGGGGGCAAAACCCACAGCAATACGAACAAACGAGTGACAAAAATGACAATGTGGAAGAGCCCATAATAAATAAACACTGAGTTGGATCTAGACTACTTTTTCCAAAGCAGAATGGGATTTCCTTGTCTGACCCATGTCACCGCAGCCCACTGATATTTACAAAATGCTTCTCCAGGGGAATAGGGGGACTTGAAGAATGGCTCGGGAGGGTTCGGCACTGGGAAGGGAGAGTCTGCCAGTTTAGTCTAGATCCAAACTCCTGTGCTTGCAAAGCAAGCAAACAAACAAACAAAAAAACCCTACCATGTTGTGTCATTGAATTAGTCCTTAGTGGCACCAATGGCTGCTGACCTGGTTGGATTGGCGGTGTTAAGTCGCTCGCTTAACAAAGTAGTCGGAGAGTGATTCAGCAAAGGTCCAACTTTATTCAACCACTCGAACACAACTCCAACACGGATCAACATCTGATAGCCAGAACAGCTTTTGCATTAAAGCTGTTCCCTTTTTAAACTCTCCCGGCTAATGTAGCCATGCCTACTATACAATTATCAACCAATAAGGTTGTATACATAAGGACCAATCACGGACGTTCCCGCTCAGGGAGCTTGCTGACCAGTGATTGGTTGGATTTGGATCCTAGCCCAGGACGAAGCTTTACATGGCAAGTCAATTATGTAGTTCACATATCGTTATGCATTCAGTGGCAGCCATTGAATACATTACAGGCAGCATTTTCACACGTGGGCAGTTTTAGAAAGAAAGAAAAAGCAAAGCTGTTTGGCTAGTGTTCAGTCAGTTTGGTGCTGATCCGAACAGACCTACTGATCATCTCACATTTGATTGACTCAGGCTGTGATCACACATACTATGAGCCTCTCCCCCTGAGTCTCGAAGGACTTTATGATGTGCCAATCAACATCTTCTGGTGGTCCCTGGCCCCAGGGACGTCCATCTCTCCTCAACTAGGGCAAAGGCCTTTTCAGCTCTGGTCCCTTCCTGATGGAATGAACTTCCATATGAGATCAGGGCCCTGTGGGGCCTGCAAGACAGAGCTCCTCCACCAGGCTTTATGATCTGCCAATCAACATCTTCTGGTGGTCCCTGACCCCAGGGACGTCCATCTCTCCTCAACTAGGGCCAGGGCCTTTTCAGCTCTGGTCTCTACCTGGTGGAATGAGCGTCCATTTGAGATCAGGGCCCTGTGGGACCTGCAAGACAGAGCTCCTCCACCAGGCTTTTAAAAGGGGTGACGGATGTCCCTCCCTCTTTACTGGGCCTCCCTCAAGGGGTCAGAACTGCGTATCAAAGATGGCATCTGTGAGGTTTTAATATCAGTGACAACAACACTGGATGAAGGTTACTGTAGTATTTTACGAGTGAGATGATTACTAGAGCTTCTAAGTGATTCAGGCTAAAGATTGGAATACCCTGACCCTTTGGTTTTTCCACAGCAAACGGCTGTTTCCAGCTCATCACCCCATCTAGATGGGGTGCTAGACCTGCCAACTGTTCAGCCCCACTGAAGGACGTCCTACCTGAAAATGTCGTCATCATCCACACAGCCGGCACTCCCTGTCAAACAAGAGAAGAGTGCAGCAGGGAAACAAGAAACGTGCAGGATTACCATCAGGGGACCAAGCGCTGGTGTGACATTGCCTACAGGTAAAATGATTGCTTTCAATGTGGTACCTTAAGAGCAATGAAGTGATGAATATATATATTCTTGTCCCACTCAGTTAGTGGCAGGGGTATTTCGTAGAAAAAGAGGTGCAGGAGCTAATTAGCATAACTCATTAGCTTAATTTATTTGCATATGCCACACCCCCTGATATCTCCGGATGTCTGTCATAAGGCAACACCCTCCACTCAGGCTCCACTGGACTGTTTTGGATTGCTAGCTATTGGGGGGGCGGGGATGTGCAGATCTGTCCTCGCAGAGGAGGGAGAGCTTTTACCTGAATAAAACTTGGTCTTAAATGTGCCACTGGACTGTTTTGGACCGGGGGTGGGGTGGGGGGAGCTATGCAACTTACCTGGCTGGTTCTTGCTCTGACTGAGGGCTTCTGGGAGCAGGGGGGGGCTTGTTGCATGTGCCCACCCCTTGGGCTCTTTACTGCCGGAGCTCCACTCCCGTGCGCTCCTGCAAGAAATGACCCCTGGTTCCATACCCTCGATCATTTCAGTTGCCCTTTTCTGCACTTTTCCTAATGTGCAGTGAGCAGAACTGTACTCAATATTCCAAATTTTATTTATTTATTTCAATTTCTCAACCACCCTTCCCGGCTTACGTGGGGCTCAGGGTAGTTTACAACAACATAAAATCCATTACGAATTTTAAAACCAGTTAAAATTACAAAAATCCCATACTAAAATATTCAGCATAAGTATTTAAACACTTTGACAAGGTGGCATGATTAGCATTCAAATTTCATGATTTCCATGAGGGGGAGGGGAGGGTGCCGGTCAGATGTAGAGAAACCGTCGCTGGCCTCAACCAAAGTCCTGGCAGAACATCTCTGCCTTGCATGCCCTGTGGAACTTTAATAGACCAGACAGGACATGGATGTTGTCTGGCATAGAGTTCCACCAGGGCTGAGAAAGCCCTGGCCCTGGTCAAAGGCCAGCCAGATATCTTTAGGGCTGGGAATCAAATGAGGCTGCACCATCGAAATATTAAGTCTCTCTCATTTATCGCTTCCTGCCTGTGAAGCACTCATCTTGTGGCAAGCTGCACTCCAACCCTGCAACAAAGACGTTAACATACAAAGACAATAACATAAGATGTTGACAAGCTCGAGTGTGTCCAGAAGAGGGCAGCCAGGATGGTGAGAGGGTTGGAATCCAAGTCTTATGAGGAAAGGCTGAAAGAGTTGGGTATGTTTCGCCTGGGAAAGAGAAGGCTTCGAGGGGACGTGATTGCAGTCTTCAAGTATTTGAAGGGCTGTCATGTAGAAGATGGAGCAGATCTATTCTCTCTTGCTCCGGATTGCAAGACTAGGTCTAATGGGTGGAAATTAGAAGGGAGTCGATACCGGCTAAATATCAGGAGAAACTTCCTAACTGTAAGAGTGGTTGAGCAGTGGAACAGTCTGCCTCGGGAGGTGGCAGATGCTCCTTCGCTGGACATTTTCAAGCGGAGGCTGGACGGCCATCTTTCGGGTATGTTGTAGGCAGGGCTATTTTTGGGCAGGAATTCGCAGGAACGGAGTTCTGGCTGGCTCCCAAGTTTGCCACGCCCAGCAAGAACTCATTAGAATAATAGGCCACATCCCAGAGCGAGTGTGGCCCAATATGCTAATGAGTTCCTGTTGTTGGGTGTGGCCTATTATGCTAATGAGTTCCTGCTGGGCTTTTTCTACAAAAAGAGCCCTGGTTGTAGGTATGTAGGGCTATCTTTCAGCTATACTCCTGCAGAGTGCAGGGGGTTGGACTAGATGATGACCTGCAAGGTCCCTTCCAACTCTAATATTCTATGATTCTATACACGAAGCTGCCTTATACTGAATCAGACCCTTGGTCCATTAAGGTCAATATTGTCTACTCAGACTGGCAGTGGCTCTCCAGGGTCTCAAGCAGAGGACTTTCCCATCATCTACCGTCAGATCATTTCAGCTGGAGATGCCGGGGATTGAACCCGGGACCTTCTGCATGCCGAGCAGAGGCTTTACCCTTGAGCCCCTACCCCTCCCAAACTGATTCCCAGTTCTGATATTGCTGTACTTATCTGGGAGGCAAAATAATGAGTGAGCTATGAAGGAAATCCGGGAAGATAGAGGAGGGATGGGTTTATCTATCCAGGATCTCCAGTTGAGTAACGTACATCTAGTAAATGGGTTTATAATTCGGTTTGCTCTCAGCTCCTGAAGGGGAAAAAATGGTATTATTTGCACTGTTATAAATCCCCGTGAATGTAGATTCCGTTCAGCCGTAAGGCTTTCCTGTAGATTTTCGTAATAGAAAAAAAAACCTCCTTTAAAACAAGGTTTTATTTATTTACTTACTTACGTTCTTATTTACTGACTTACTTATTTTTAAAACATTTATATCCTGCAAGTTTGATGTAGTGGTTGAGAGCGGTGGACTCTAATCTGGGAGAACTGAGTTTGATTCCCCACTCCTCCACATGCAGTTGCTGGTGTGACCGTCTGTCACAAGTTCTCTCAGGGCCTTGAAAGAGCTCTCTCAGCTCCACCTACCTCACAGGGTGTCTGTTGTGGGGAGGGGGTGGGAAAGGTGATGGTAAGCTGCTCTGAGACTCCAAGTGAAGGGTGGGGTATAAATCCAATCTCCTCCTCCTCCTCCTCCTCTTCGTGGTTCAAGGTGGCTTACCATAGGTTGTAGTAATAAGTAGTAGGCTAGGTGCAACTCTAAAAAATAATCTTTTCCTTTCTTTCCCCCTTGCCAGCTTCCTGATTGGTGAGGATGGGTATGTGTATGAGGGGCGAGGCTGGCGCGCTGAAGGAGCTCACACCCTGGGCTACAATGACTTGTCCCTGGGAGTCGCTTTCATCGGCCTCTTCACAGGTACTTGTATTGACTGCCCTCTGAAACAAGACAGTAATTGCGCTGAATGATGACTCGTACCATCTATGTTACATTATTTATCAATTAATTTATCTATTATTTTCAATTCATAACCCGCCTTTCCTGCACAGGCAGGCTCAAGGCAGTGCACAACAGGAAAGAATACAATAAACCATGGATGCATAAGTGCAATGCTATAAAATTCATGTAACAGCAACTATACATACAAAGTGCAATTCAGTGCAGATGGCAATTGCTGTATGGTGGTTGTCATGATCTGGGCTGTGCCACTAGAGGCCTACGAGGCCCAGGGAGTCTGGCTAGCAGTAGGTGAGGCTAGGCCTACAACTCCCAGAAGCTCTTGAGAGGTTTTGGAGCCAAAATTGACCAATAAGAAAAGAGGAGGGCTTGGAATAAAAGACCTGGTGCAGCAGGAAAAGCTGTTCTTTTCCCCAGAGGGCAAAGCCAGAAGGCAGGCTCCTGCAGGGAAGAGACCCTCAACCTGAGGGAAGGGTGAGTAGTCTAAGGCCACTTGAGATAGTGAGCTAGGGACAGTATATATTTAGACACATTAGAGCATTTGATTTCTTTTCTTTTCACCCACTTACTGTTATTATTCTGCACCTTGTTGTTTGACCTCCTATACAATAAACTATTTTCATTGTTCACTCTGCCTAGTCCTCACACCTATTATTTAGCCAAAAAGGAGGTCTGAAGGTCTTGGGAGGGTGCTCTGGGCCTTCTCAAGGGAGCCTGGAACCAGAGTGGTGGCAGCATCAGGTGACACCCCACCTGAGCCATGACAGTGGTCCTATGTGGCTAAGCCAGTATCCATAATAGTTCTTAGTGACAATAACATGAGGGCCGGAGCAGTTCAGTTTTTAATAACTCATTCCTCAGTGGCGGCTCCTAATCGAAGGCCTGGTGGAAGAGCTCCATTTTACAGGCCCTGCAGAACTGTAAGAAATCCTGCAGGGCCCTGATGTCTTCTGGGAGCTCATTCCACCAGTGTGGAGCCGCCACTGAGAAGGCCCTAGCTCTGGTAGCGGCCAATCTGGCATCTTTCAGACCAGAGAGAGTCAGGCGATTTTGCGACCCTGTCCTCAGTGCTCTTTGGGGGATGTAAGGGGAAAGGTGGTCCCTCAAGTAGGCAGGCCCCTGACCATATAGGGCTTTAAAGGTCAAAAACAGCACCTTGAAGCAAATCCGGTATGCTATTGGCAGCCAGTGCAATGCCTAATCAGATGTCGGAGGAGCCAGAGCGGTGCTTTAAGAAAGCAGAGGCATGTAGCTGCATGTCCAAGCTACCCTCGAGTTCTAGAACTGAGTTATGTAGGGATGCCATCATCTGGAATAACATCTCCAGACTGCCGATATCCGTTCCCCTGGGGGAAATAGATGATTTGGAGGGTGGAATATGTGGTCTGTTTATTATATATATGCAGGGCTATTTTTGGGCAGGAACGCACAGGAACAGAGTTCCGGCTGGCTTCCAAGTTGGCCACACCCAGCAGGAACTCATTAGCATAATAGGCCACACCCAACAGCAGAGACTCATTAGGACTGGCTACATGAGGGGTGTGTGGCCCAACATGCAAAGGAGTTCCTGCTACAAGAAAAGCCCTGGGTTTTGACAACAAACAAGGTAAACAGAATAACAAGCAAAAGGTGGGTGTGGCTGGATGAGCACACTTCTGGTAACATGGGGCTGTAGCCTAATGTGCCAATGAGTTGTGCTGTCAGGGGTGTGGCCTAATATGCTAATGAGTTTCTGCTGTTGGGTGTGGCCTATTATGCTAATGAGTTCCTGCTGGGCTTTATCTACCAAAAGAGCCCTGTATATATGCCTATATGTGATGGAACAGTCTGCTCCCACCCCCCCATGATATCTGTGTGATTTAACTTGGTCCTATTGGGTGGAGCTCTGGTTTCAGTTTCCAGTTTTGTCTGTTTGCTGGAGTCGTCGGTTGTTGGAGTTGTCTCCTTACAAACAAGTAACTGATGTTTTGAGCCAGCTTGTCTCTGCTGATGGACCTAAGGACGGGTGCCTGGGAACCCACAGCGAAAGGCGGACATTACATAATCTATGACATTGTACCCCACTGAAGTTCCCTATCCTGTGCAGGCTCCACCCCCAAATCTCCCGGAGTTTTCCAACCTGGAGCTAGCAACCCTACTGCCTCCCCCTCCGCCACCAGTGGCCAGGGAGGGGCTGGCAACTCTAGAATTCTGGAAAGGCTGGGTTACAGAAGCTGGTGACCAGCCCCTGGTTGGAAGCTGAGATGCAAGTAATATATGACAGACCTCCTAGTTGATACAAGATCAGAGTTATAGAAACAACCAGGGAAACGTTTTGTATATAATGCAATAGATACTATATTGGACAGAGCTGAGTGGGTTCCTTTGCATATGGCAGGATGTCTTATCACAGGGTAAGAAAAGCCAGCTCCACGTGTTGGCCACTTGCATTAAATAATGACTTTGGGAGGTACCCGGGCTATTAACTCGGTGTGTGGGTTTCACGTTCCTCTCACTCCTGTTGAGTACAGATCTTTTTTTCTCATCACGGACTCCTCCCCAGAGGGCAAAGAAGAACAGGATGGGCCTAGCTGGTTGCACAGCTATCGGGGGGGGGGGCATTCAAGACACCCACATTGCATGCTGTCATTAAAAGGAGGCTCACCAGCCATGGAATTATGGAACCTCACTCGATGTTCTCACCCATGTGTTTTGCGTAGGAGGGTGTGCATTTGACTGCCAGATGGAGATGCCACAGCAGGGAGGTTCTCGGGAGAACACAATGCAGTCGGTGTTAAAGGGGTGGGTGTTGGTCCTTGAAGGGAAATGAAAGGTCATTCTCCTTCAGATTCCAAAACACGGCCTGGATACATGTTAAAGTCAACCTGCCACCCAAGGAAATTAAACCGGGCTGAAAATCTCCTCCATTGTTTGACAAAACGAGGACTCCCTTGCATTTTATTAGCACCAAGAATACAGTGCATCACTTGCCCCAGACTGGGAGTTCCTATCTATACCTTGTGGCTAATAGCCACTGATGGACCTCTGCTCCATATGTTTCATCTAATTCCCTCTTGAAGCTGTCCATGCTTATAGCCGCCGCCACCTCCTGTGGCAGTGAATTCCATGTGTTAATGTGTTAGTGAAGGCTGAAGGGTAAGAGGAGCTTTCAAATTTCTTGTGGTGGCACTGTTAAAAGAAATTCTCTTAATTCCTGAATTATTCAAGGGGGTTTTTTAATGTAGGCTTACAGTGTACCAAAGGGTTCACAAACTTACTTGGATAAATTATTAGAGACCGTGGTGTACACTGTGATGCATAGTTTATTGTAAGTAGGCTCTTATGTAATTTTTGTAACACCTAAAAGTGTCATGTTAATCCTTATGTCATGCTTCAGTTTAAGGATGGGCACAGACTGGGGGGAAATGGAGGTTTGTGGAGGTTCGTGGTTTGCGAATTTCACAAACAGCAAACTTCCATGGACTTTCCCAGTTTACGAACCAGTTCGTGGTTTGTGAGATGCATGATAGGTGCAACCTGGAAGTTAGCTCAGGAGGCATTTAAATGCTTCCCGAGCCCACTTCCAGATTGTGCCACTGCAGCAGTGGCAGGGCTTCAAAGGGTTCATAGAATCATAGAACGTTAGAGTTGGAAGGGACCTTGCAGGTTATCTAGTCCAACCCCCTGCACTCTGTAGGAGCATAGCCAAAAGACAGCCCTACAACATACCCAAAAAATGGTCACCCAGCTTCCGCTTGAAAACGTCCAGTGAAGGAGCATCCACCTCCTCCTGAGGCAGTCTGTTCCACTGCTCAACGACTCTCACAGTTAGGAAGTTTCTCCTGATTTTTAGCCGGCATCGACTCCCTTGTAATTTCCACCCATTAGATCTAGTCTTGCAATCCGGAGCAAGAGAGAATAGATCCACTCCATCTTCTACATGACAGCCCTTCAAATACTTGAAGACTGCAATCATGTCCCCTCGAAGCCTTCTCTTTCCCAGGCTAAACATACCCAACTCTTTCGGCCTTTCCTCATAAGACTTGGATTCCAACCCTCTCACCATCCTGGTTGCCCTCTTCTGGACATGCTTGAGCTTGTCAACATCCTTCCTAAAACGTGGTGCCCAAAACTGGACACAGTACTCCAGATGAGGCCTGACCATAGCAGAATGGTCCCTGGGCACCAGCATGTCTGACCCATGGACCTCCCTAACAGACCAAATGGACCACTGGAAAAAAAATCAACGTCTGTGGTCATTCCATTAAAACTGCAAATGCACAGACTGGGCAAATGGACCCCAAACCAAGGCCCGGTTTGTCACAAAATTAGGTCCATGAACCAGTCTGTGCCCATCCCTACTTCAGTTCTTTCTGCCTGGTTCCAGACTTCTCAAATTCTAATGCATTAGTTATTGAATGTCCCCTTTCGCTGATTGTATTGACTCACTCTCTGTAATCTCGCAGGGCTCTTTTTGTAGAAAAAGCCCAGCAGGAACTCATTAGCATAATAGACCACACCCAACAGCAGAAACTCATATTAGGCCACACACATGACAACACAGCTCATTAGCATATTAGGCCGCACCCCCATGTTACCAGAAGTGTAGTCATTCAGCCACGCCCACCTTTTGCTTCTTATTCTGTTTACCTTGTTTGTTGTCAAAACCCAGGGCTTTTCTTGTAGCAGGAACTCCTTTGCATGTAAGGCCACACACCCCTAACGTAGCCAATCCTAACGAGTTTCTGCTGTTGGGTGTGGCCTATTATGCTAATGAGTTCCTGCTGGGCGTGGCCAACTCGGAAGCCAGCAGGAACTCCGTTCCTGTGCGTTCCTGCCCAGAAATAGCCCTGGTAATCCGCATTGAGTCCCTGTGAGAAAATGGACCGCAAACAATGCCGACAAAAATAAAAGAAATGAAGAAAATAAAATGAGAGCATCGTATCAAGGGTCACTCCGACAGATTGCTCTTAGAGTTGTTGAAGGGCATGATGGCCCTGACCTGGGTAGCCCAGGCTAGCCTGATCTCATCGGCTCTTGGAGGCTAAGCAGGATCAGACCCGACTAGTATTTGGGTGGGAGACTGCAAAGGAATACCAGGGTTGCTATGCAGAGGCAGACAAGGCTATCCACCTCTGAATGTCTCTCATCTTGAAAACTCTACGAGGTCACCTTAAGTCTGCTGTGACTTTATGGCAAAAAAGGAGGGCATGATGGGGGGAGGGACCACAAATAAGGAGTTTTGAATCCCAACTTTTTGTTCTTTCCCCCTTTCCAGACAGGTCTCCCAATGAAGCAGCGTGGAAAGCCCTGAAGTGCTGGCTTGACTTCTCGGTAAAGATAGGCTACCTCCATCCTGACTACGTTTTAATGGCTCACAGCGATGTCAGCGATATCGTATCTCCTGGAGAGCACGTCCGTCAAGTCATTTCAAAGTGGCCCCATTATAAGCACCAATAGGAACCATCCCCTATCTCCCCGACCAACTTCAAGTGTGGCGTCTGTGATCCCATTGGAATAGAAAGGGGATAAAAATGGGATGATGTTCCAGCAGTGAATTGGGGGGGCAGGGGTATTTTGGGGCAGGAACGCACAGGAACGGAGTTCTGGCTGGCTTCAGAGTTGGCCACGCCCACTACAGCCAAAACCTTAGCGTACGTGGCTACATAGGGGAGGCCTGGAGAGCGACCCCCCCCCCGGTGACTCCAAGGTAAGCAGGCCAGGGGGGCCTGGAAGGATCGGGGAGGCATTTAAATGCTTCCCCGTGCCTTCCCCGGCAAGCCAAGGGCAAGCCAAGGGAAGGCAGTTTAAACCACCTTCCCTTCGAGGGGGGAGCTTGCCCAGGCTCCCCATAGCTGCGGAGCACCTGGGCAAGCCAAGGGAAGGCATGAGGCGTGACCTAATACGCTAATGAGCTGCACGGTCAGGGGTGTGGTCTAATATGCTAATGAGTTTATGCTGTTGGGTGTGGCCTATTATGCTAATGAGTTCCTGCTGGGCTTTTTCTACAAAAAAAGCCCTGGGGGCGCGATATTTCTCCGGGTACATTGGGTTGTGAAGGGCCAGGTACAAAACAATCTCCTCCTTTTTTTCTGTCACAGGTGCCTCCATTGTAGGAAGATGCTTAACTTGCCACCTCCCACCCTTTTGTGATTCATCCAGGCCACCACAGCAGCCCTTTTATGGTGGAGCCTGTTCTCAAAATCCCAGAAGCACTCACAAGCAGCATTCACTCTAAGCTGAGTTAGTGTAAGCTAGCTCACAGTTTTTTTAGCCTCCAGCTTGCACATTTTTTGCCTTAGCCCAGGAAGGGATGGCTCCGGAGCGAACTAATTTCTGCAGTAGCCAAATCGCTCCCTCACAACTTTAATGCCGGTAGCTCACAAAGTAGAATCTTTGCTCACAAGACTCCACAGCGTAGAGGGAGCATTGCTCACCAGCTGAACAAAACTGAAGACCCCTGTGGGTTAAGTGTTAGATCGCGCTAACAAAGGAACCGTAGAGTGATTCAGCAAGTGATTCAGCTTTATTTAGAAGTAACGAACAAGCACTAACTCAGTAAGAAACCAGAACAGAAAACAGTGGGAGCTTATGCTCCTTTTAAACATAACCGGGCTAATGTAGCCACGCCTATTTACAAATAACAACCAATGAGATTGCTAGAATAAAGACCAATGGGAGTCTTTCCCTCCTAGGGAATGGTATCGTTCTGATTGGTCGCTGTTACGAAGCGACCAATAGGAAGTTCGCTCAGAGGAGCCCTGGTCTGGCTCGAAGCTTAACATGGGAGTCCTATGAGGTGATTCATGTAATCATTTCAATACATTACAATTCCTCCCCCCTAAGTTAAGCCATCATCCCAATTGTTTTATTATTTACAAACATGCAATCAACCTTTGTACATCAGTTATTCCAACAGTATTTACACTCATAGTCCTTCAGATAAGTCGGCATTTGCCGCGAACGCTGGGACCTGCGGAGCGGTGCAGGCTCCATGGGCAGACAAGGTTGTGGGTCAGAGTGGGGTTCACTACAGCCTGGATCAGGCACAGACTCGACTGGGATTTCAGCCCCGCACACAGGGTTCTGCCCTGACTCGGGGACAGTACCGGGCCTTTCGGTACTCACCGCCTGCTCTGGGGGTGTCCACTCGACATCAGGGGATTCAGCCGTCGGAGAGTCAGCGCTGTCCCTAGCCCAACGTCTCCTTAACTGATCTATGTGGCGCCGCCATATTCGACCGTCAGCTAACTGCACCACATACATTCGAGTACCCACAGAGTCGGATATAACCCCAGGAAGCCATAAGTGCCCGTTTGCATAATTTCGTGCGAAAACCTTGTCCCCTTTTTCAAACATGCGCACCTTCGGTTGCGCCGTGGTACGCTCGGATTGCTCTTCAGTGAGGTCTGGGTGCATTCGGTTCAAACGGGTCGTGAGTCTCCGCCCCATTAACAATTCGGCCGGACTACGGCCTGTAGCACTACAGGGGGTGGTGTGCTGCAGCAAAAGAAAGGAGCCCAGCCTCTGGCTCCAGTCCCCTTCGTCCATTTTACCCAGGGCCTCTTTGGCCGTCCTGACCATCCGTTCGGCTTGGCCATTAGATGCCGGATGGAAAGGGGCCGAAGTCATTTGGCGTATGCCATTACTCGTGAGGAAGAGCCTAAATTCCTCAGACACAAATTGAGGCCCGTTGTCACTGACGATGACGTCAGGCAACCCGTGGGTGGCAAAAAGTCGGCGGAGCGCATGGATCACAGCAAGTGATGTGGTCGATTTCATATGCACGACCTCCAGCCATTTGGACATAGCGTCCACCACAATTAGGAACATTTGCCCTTGGAGAGGGCCAGCAAAATCTATATGCAATCTGGCCCAGGGTTTACCAGATGACTCCCAGCCTTGGGGTGTAGCTTGTGGGGGATCGGGTCTGACTTGCTGGCATTTGGGACACCCTCGTACCCATTCTTCGATCTCTTTGTCCAGCCCCGGCCACCAGACATACCCTCTGGCCAACGCTTTGGTGTGTACCATACCGGGGTGACCCTCGTGCAGCGACTCTAACACTCTCGTCCTGAGTTTGTCAGGAACCACCACCCTGTTCCCCCATAATACACAGCCCTTAGAAATGGATAGTTCATTTTGACGGCTTTTGTAAGGGCCGAACTCCGGTTCAACGCTTCCAACCGGCCACCCCCTCCAAACCCAGTTTAATACTCGGGACAGCACGCTATCCTTGGCCGTGTGTGCTGCAATGTCCCTGGATGATACCGGGGGTCGAGGAAGCTCCTCAATTGCCAAGACCTCACAGGCGGGGGCAGGGTCTGCGCCAATGTCCGGCACCGGGCACCGGCTGAGGGCATCCGCATGCCCAATCGCTTTCCCAGGCCGGTGCTCTAAGTCAAAATCATAAGCCTGCAAAAATATCGCCCATCTAAGCATGCGTGGGGACATGATGTTTGGCAATTGCTTATCGGGCGCAAAAATCCCCAGTAGCGGCTTGTGGTCAGTGACCAGCAAAAATCGTCTGCCAAAAATAAAATCATGGAACTTTTTGACAGCCGCTACCAACGCCAGACCCTCCTTGTCTATCTGGGCATAGTTCCGCTCTGCCGCAGATAGTGATCTAGAATAAAAAGCGATAGGCGCTTCGCTCCCATCAGGCATCAGATGGCTTAAAACTGCGCCTACTCCAAAAGGTGAAGCGTCAGCAGCTAACACCAGGAGCTTGTGTTCATCATAATGCGTGAGTACGGCATTAGATGTCAGCAGCTCCTTGACTCCCACAAAAGCCTTTTCCTCGGCCTGCCCCCACTTCCATTTTGCCTCCTTGTGCAAAAGCGCGTGCAAAGGGGCCGCCACTGATGCCTTATGCGGTAAAAACGCATGATAAAAATTCAGGAGTCCTAAAAAGGATTGGAGCTCCTTCTTACTCACCGGCCTGGGGGCGTTTTGGATTGCAGATACCTTCTCATCCGTGGGGTGGACTCCCTCTGCGTCAATGCGAAACCCCAGGAAGTCCACACTTTCCACCCCGAGCGTGCATTTTGAGCGCTTAACTCTGAGACCGGCATTTTGAAAACGCCTGAGGACCTCTTTAACCCGGTCCAGTAGTTCCTGTTCAGACCCGCCCGCAATCAGCACGTCGTCAAAATAGGGCACTGTGCCAGGTACCCCCCTTAGTAGACGTTCCATGAGGCCCTGAAAAATCCCAGGTGCTACGTTGACCCCGAATTGCAGCCTGTTCACTTTAAAAGCCCCTTGGTGGGTTACAATTGTTTGGGCCTCGGCAGCCTCCGGGGTGACAGGCAACTGCTGGTATGCCTGGGCCAGGTCAAATTTGGCGAAAATCTTGCCACCCCCCAGGGAAGCCAAAATGTGGCTTATTACCGGGACCGGGTACGAATGTTGCTGCAGCGCCTTGTTAATCGTACATTTGTAATCGGCGCATAGTCGTATGGACCCATCTGATTTGACAGGGGTTACGATCGGGGTCTCCCATTTGCTGTATGGTACTGGCTCTAAAACCCCTTGCTCAACTAGTTTGTCAATCTCTTTTTCCACCTTATGTTTGAGAGACACAGGTACTTTCCGATACTTCAACCTAATAGGTTTGACTGACGGATCTAAGTCAAACGCAACCGGGGGGCCCTTGTACCTCCCCAACCCTTCGGCAAATACATCAGGGAACAGGTCGTACAGCATGCCCCATTTATTTTCAGACATCCTGTTAATCCCAGAAATACCAATGCCCAATGGCTCAAACCAATCTAACCCTAGCAGGTTAACCCGGTCTCCCTCTGCAATCAGGAATGACAGTTTAACACATTTCCCCTTATACTCAACAGTAACAGAGTCCCGTCCGGCCAAGGGAATTCGGTTGCCCTGGAAGTCGGACACTCTGGTTCCCGCAGGCTGGAGCCGCCGCCGGCTTCGGTTCGGGAACAACTGGCGCCAGGACGCGGCAGAAATCACCGTCACGGACGATCCTGAGTCCACCTCCATTGTACAGGGTCGGCCGTCGAGGAGTGGAGTCACGGTGATCTTGCCCTGGCTGCTGGTGCGATTTACGGCCGATGCGCTCGACAAGGTCGCCGTCAACTGGCAGCTTGCTTCCGATGCTGAGGAACGGGTCTTGCCTTGGGTGCTGACTGGAGTGCCCCTCTGCGCTGAGGGATCCTTCTTTGCTGATCTGCAGACTCTGGCCAGATGACCACGCCGCCCACACGCTCTGCAGTCGACATCACGAGCCCAACAGGAGTCGCGCTGGTGTTTCCCGCCACAACCGGAGCAAGGCTTGACGTTGGTAGTCTTCGCTGGGGTCCGCTTGCCTCGAACCGCGTTGACGTCATCATCCGCGTCTTCGCCCTCGCTGTCTCGTTGAGCGTGTATACTGGGCTCTGCCACCCGCTGGCGGACCTCCTTCGTGGACTTCTCCGCTGCTTCCGCGGCCACGGCCTCTTCGTAGGCCACTGCCCAGGTCAGGGTGGTGCGGGCGAACAGCCTCTGTTGCAGCCTTTCATCTTTGAGACCGCAGACGAGACGGTCTCTGAGGGCTTCCTCCACGTTGTGGAAATTACATGGCCGTGCGGCTTTGCGAAGGGCCGCCACGAAATCTGCGATGGTC